TATTGGTCTCGAGAGCATCACCTCCGCAAGTCAGCCGACTTCAAGTTGAGGCTGTCAAAGGAGGAAAAAGCCCATGCCAATGCCGTATTGGCCCACGTCCGTTCCCAAGGCCATTTGAGTGCGGCCTCCTTAGTGGCTAGATCACACTCGACGGCCGCAGTAATAGCTAGACGAGTCCCCAACTCGGATTAGAATAGTATGCTCATGCTTTATTTTATTTATTCATGATATTTATTTGCTTCCAATATTCTCCTTTCACTGCTGTAATGTCGATTTTGCTTTGTAGGTTCCAACATGAATTTGCAAATGGAGGAGGATGATCTGGGCTACATTTTATCTCTGAGGGGTCCGAGCACTGGTCCAGATCTGCCACCTTCAAAAAGACCAAGGACTATCAGCCCTTCGATTGCTACTACTTCGGCACATGTTTTCAACCCTGGCGATCTAATACTGGACCTTACCAGTGATCATGAGAATCCTGAGCCAAATGATAATCCTTCCTCACCAACTTCTGGTGGTAGAAGTAATACTTGCGCTGTGGTTTCCATGCCCCAGGGTACACCAGCTCCCGCAACCCTCCTAGCTGGACTTCGGAGGGGGGCGTTATGGGAAGCAGGCGTCTCCTCCGAGCTTCGGGGTGTTGTCCGTCCTCCACTTGCTTTTTCTGGTTCTGGGATCATATCCCGCGCCGAGATGGAGGAGCTTCAGAAGGCCGAGGTATACACCTTCAAGGCGGCATCGTTGCTGAAGCCGTATTCCCTGCTTCTAGACCAGCATGCGGACGTCATTACCGAACTGGATGCTCTTCGGGTGGACTATCAGAAGGTAACTGAAGAAAATAAGAGTTTGACCAGCACAACTGCCAAGTTACAAACTTCTTTGGAGCAATCACAAGCAGATTTAAAATCCATTTGTGACTCATTCAATCTGACATCTGACAAAGACAACATTATTAACTATATCAAGGACCAAACAATCGCAGTTGTAGAGGGGGAATCTAAGGTGACCGCGTTGACTGCGGAGAATGCCAAATTGAGATCCGACCTGGAGAACCTTCAAGCGGCTTATGACTTCAATAAAGCCGCCATGGAAAAAGCAGTTGGTGGTGCTTTTAGGAACGCCGTCAACCAAATGCGGTTTTTCAACCCGGAGGTGACCTTTAATACGAATCAACTGGATTGCTTTGGTTATATCCGGGGTGGTACTTTCGTTCCTCCTCCTGCTGTTGGTCAGAACCAGCCGACGTCTGCTCCTGCCAATGTGGAGGTGAACCTGGGTATGGAAGCTGCAGGCCAACAATTTGAAGCCGAGGTGCGAGAGATGCTCTGTGGCGATGCTTCATAATGAAGAACCGGAATGCCGGTTTATTGTGTAATTTTTTGGCTTTTCATTGAATATTTTGAAAGTACTCTATTTTGTGATGCTGCGTTATTCGAACCTTTGCTGATCTACTCTTCTGATATATCCGTCGTTTAGAGACCATTGCTGCTCCCTTTAGGAATTTTTTTTCTAGAAACTAAGGGTGTCCGCTTACTTTCTAATAAGTTATATCCCGGCTAGCACTCACTTCTTTGCTCATTTTGGCAAAGCAGGTGCTAATACGTCGGATTTAAGTTTCGGTTGCAACACACTATCCATTGCCATTAGGAAGGAAGGTTAAATCATCGAGTTGTTTACCGGACTAGAACTCAATCTTCCCTTAGGCGAGATGGTTCAAATACCTCGGTTTTAATGCCGGGCTAGAACTCAATCTTGCCCTTTGGGCAAGATGGTTCAAATACCTCGGGTTTAATGTCGGGCTAGAACTCAATCTTTCCCCTTGGACAAGATGGTTCGAATACCTCAGGTTTAATGCCGGGCTAGAACTCAATCTTGCCCTTTGGGCAAGATGGTTCGAATACCTCGGGTTAGAAGACGAAAATATTCCTTTGGGGAAATGCTTGATTTTTATTCCATTTATTCATAACTGAAAATTGTAACTACAAGAGGAAAACGATATGGAAACGTCAGATCTATCTTTCTTTTCAACTAAAGTATTTTTTCAGTTTATCTGCATTCCATGTTGTTTTCACACTTCCCCCTTGCAGAGTTTCTAACATATAAGCTCCTCTTGATAGCTTTTCTTTGACTCTGAATGGTCCTTCCCATTTTGGGGCTAACTTTCCCTCAGCCGCGTTTCTCCCTCCCACGTCTGCTCTTCGTAGGACTAAGTCTCTGACTGCAAATGATCTAGGCTTCACCTTCCTATTAAAACGGGTAGCGACAAGCTGTTTTGCCGAGAAGTTTTTGCAGTGTGCTATAACTCGATCTTCATCTATCAAATCTAGCTCCACCGCTAACTTCTTATTATTCTCTTCTTCAGCTTGAGATAAGGCTTGGACCCTTCACCATGAAGGTTCTCCCAATTCCACAGGGATCATGGCCTCGCATCCATAGGTTAATCTAAATGGACTTTCTCCAGTAGACATTTGCATCGTGGTTCTGTATCCCCAGAGGACATACCACAATTCTTCGACCGACTTCCCTTTAGCAGATTGGTCTATCCTCTTTCTCAACCCTTCTATGATGACTTGATTTGCTGCTTCTGCCTGCCCATTAGTCTGAGGATGCTCTACAGATGCAAACTGGTGCCTGATGTGGAGGTTTGCCATCAATTCCTGGAAGGCTTTACTCGTGAACTGGGTCCCGTTGTCAGTAACTACCTCGGCTGGAATTCCAAACCTGCAAATCAAGTTTCGCTCAAAGAAACGTTGAACCCGAGCTGAGTTAATCATTGCAACTAGTTCTGCTTCTATCCACTTAGTGAAGTAATCAACGGCCCCTATCAGCCACCTCAACTGCCCTTCAGTTGCTGCCAACGGACCCAGAAGGTCCATTCCCCATTTAAAGAATGGCCATGGTGCCGTGATTAAACTTAACTCTTTTGGGGGTGCTAGTAGATTTCTTCCGTGTCTCTGGCATTGATCACATTTTAGCACATGCTCTCTCGCGTCATTACTCATGGATGGCCAAAAATATCCGGCTCTAATCGCTTTCCGGGCTAAAGCCTTACCCCCAATATGCTGGCTGTTGATTCCTTCATGGATTTCTGCCAGGACATATTTGGCCTCATCCATACTCAGGCACTTCAGCAGGGGCGAAAAGATCCCTTTCTTGTAAAGCTGCCCTTCCATCATGGTATATGATGCTACATCCTTAATTAATTCCCTAGCTTCCTCTATAGCGATGGGCAACATTCCTTTTTCCAAGTAATCGATGATAAGGCAACGCCAGTCATCTTTTTCTGATATCTGCATAACACATGTGGGTTCCGAGATACTTTGTTCAACTACTGTCCTGTAATTTCCCCATCCCTTGGTGCTCGCCAACTTAGATAATATGTCTGCCATGCTGTTTTCATTTCTTAGGATATAGCTGACCTCTACCTTCTCAAACTCTGCAATTAACTGCCTCACAGAATCTAGATACTTAGTCAACAATGGTCCTATGGCTTGATAGCTCCCTTCAATTTGGGAGGTAAGCAATTGAGAGTCATTTTACACCTGCAGCTTCCGAGCTCTGAGCTCCTTAGCCTGGTGCAAGCCGGCTATGAAAGCCTCGTATTCTGCCTGGTTGTTTGATGTTTCAAAATACATTTGCATAGAGTACTCTACCGATATTCCTTCTGGATTTTCTATGATGACCTCGACCCCACTACCTTTGAGGTTAGAAGACCCATCCACATATACCTTCCATGTGTCTGGGCTGCTTGAAGCTTCCATTTGGATTGAAGTAAGCTCCCTAATAAAATCTGCCAATGCTTGGGACTTGATTTCTTTACGGCTTTCAAACATTATATCAAACTCTGGTAGCTCGAAAGCCCAAGCCATCATTCTTCCTGCTAAATTAGGCTTGTGAAGGATTTGCCGAATTGGCAGATCCGACCTAACCACGACTTGGTGTCCCTGAAAATATGCTCTGAGCCTTCTAGCCGAGATTAACAAGGCAAATGCAACCTTTTCTAACTTTTGTTACCTGAGTTTCGCGCCCTGCAAGAGACGGCTCACAAAGTAGATCGGTTGTTGTCCTTCTTCATTTTCTTGAACTAAGACCGAACTAACAGCTACATCTCCCACAGAGAGGTATATTATTAATACCTCCCCCTCTCTTGGTCTGGTCAACACTGGTGGTGAAGCCAGTTGCTTCTTAATTTCCTGGAATGCGGCCTCACAATCCGAATTCCATCCATATTGTACCTCATTCCGAGGTAACTTGAAGAAAGGTAGTGCCGTTTTTGCAGATCGAGGTAGAAATCTAGTGAGGGAGGCCAACCTTCTTGTCAATTGCTGTATTTCTTTCTTGTTTGTCGAGGCCTTCATCTCCAGCACTGCTCGACATTTATCCGGGTTAGCTTCGATGCCTCTATGAGTCAAGATAAACCCTAGAAATTTTCCTGCAAGGACGCCGAAAGCACATTTGGCCGGGTTCAATCAGATGTTGTATCGTCTAAGTTTTTTAAAGGTCTGCTCCAGATCTTCAATGTGTACTGCCAAATTGGTCGACTTGAAAATCATGTCATCTATGTACACCTCAACGTTCTTTCCTAGTTGGTCTGCGAACACCTGATTCATCATTCTTTGGTAGGTGGCCCCTGAGTTTTTCAATCCAAAAGGCATTACATTGTAACAGTAGTTCGCCTTTTCTGCGATGAAGGCAGTTTTTTCCTGGTCTTCTAGGTGTAGCGGCATTTGATTATACCCCGAATAGGCATCCATGAAGGATATCATTTGGAAACCGGATGAGCTATCAACCAGTTGATCTATGTTGGGCATAGGGTATGCATCCTTAGGGCATACTTTATTTAGATCTGTGTAATCTGTGCACACCCTCTATTTTCCATTTGGCTTCTTAACCATTACTACGTTGGACAATCAGGTTGTGTATTGTATTTCCCTGATGAACCTTGCTTCCAGCAATTTCTTCACATGATCCTCCAATACCTACCGATGCTAAGGACTGAGCTATCTTTTCTTCTGCGCTACTGGCTTAGACCCTGGGTATACTGCAAGCTTATGACAGCAAAAGGCAGGGTCTACGCCAAGAATTTCTGAAGATTTCCAAGCAAAAACGTACTTATTCTTCCTTAGGCATTTGGTAAGTTGAACCTTTTCCTCTTCAGTCAACCCTTTACCTATCTTTGCAACTTGCTCCTCCTCCCCAATGATTATTTCTTCCAACTCGCCATCGAGTTCCGGCCTCGGCATCTGAGTATCATTCCTCATGTCCAATTCTACTATGTTGACCGGTGTCTTTTTCTCTCTGCTTGGGCCATCCTGTCTGCAACCAGTTTTCATCTCGGCTGAAGGTTTAGGGTCACTTTCGACTGCCCTGAACGACTTAAAATAACAATCCCGAGACTCTTTTTGGTCCCCTGCAATGGTGATGACCGTGTTTTGCTTACCAATCATCTTAAGTTTTTGATGTTTGGTAGAAACCAGCATATCCCACTCGTGGATCGTTGGTCTTCCCAAAATCACATTGTACTCTGAAAGGAAGTCGGCTACAATGAACCTTACTCTTTCTGACTTGTATGCCTCCTTGGTTCCCAGATTCAGTCTCAGATCTATATATCCTTTGGGGATGGTGTTACGGCCATTGAATGCGATCAAAGCCGTATTGCAGGGTTTCAAATCTTCTTCATCCAGATTCATTTTCCGAAAAGCCTGCCATAGGATTATGTCGGCACAACTGCCGTTGTCCATAAATATCTTTTTCACTTTACAGTTGACTAGTGTGCTTGTTATAACTAACCCATCAACACGTCCTGGCATGACATCCTCCAGCTCTTTCTTGGGGAAATACAGTATTGGTGGTTCTTTTTTGGCCTCTTTAAACTTGGGCCGCTCTCGTATTGAGAGCACCTCCCTCAAGTATTTCCTCCTAGCATTCATGGTATCACCTCCTCCTCGGAAAGCCCCGCTAATCACATTACATTCGAACTCAGGTTCTACGAACTCGTCGTCTTCTCTGGTCGGCTTCTTGCCCCGGCTTTCTTCCTTGTGCCTTTTTTCTCGCGGTGGGCTCATTGGTCGACCTCCTCTTTTCTTCCTATTGTTCTTCCATCCTTGAGTCCTTATGAGATATTGACGCAGCTTTTCGTCTTTGACATATTTTTCAATCGCGTCTCTTAGGTCCCAACATTCATCAGTAGTGTGGCCGGGTCCATCGTGAAATGCACAGTACCGCGATTGGTCCAACCCGACCGGATTGAGTAATGGCCGAGATCTATCTACCCTTTTCATCTCTGTGGATGCTACTTCCCTCCAGATTTGTGATCTGGACGAATTTAAAGGCACATACCTGTCAAATCTCCCATTCGCTGAAGTTTTATCATCTTGCCTTTTACATCGATAATCGTTTTGCTTCCTGCTGCCAAGCTTTTCTGCTTGGCCGGGGTGCTGCCTTTGATCCATGTTCTCAATTTCCATCTGTTCGAGCTCTAGATATTTCTTCGATCGCGCTGTGAACTCTACTAGAGTCCGGACTGGGTCTTTGTAGACGGACTTAGCCAACAGAGAAGAGCCGTGTAACCCTGCGATTACTAAATGTAGATGAACATTTTCTAACCACCCAGGAACCTGCAAAGCCGCCATTTTAAAACGGTCCAAGTACTTTTGAAAGGTTTTCCCAGGTTGTTGTCTTATTTTTCCCAGTGCAAATTCTGACTTCGGCTGTTTTTTGCTAGTGGCAAAATTCAGCAAGAACCTCCCTCCAAACTTCTCAAAAGATCTGATGGATCCCGCTGGTAAAGATGAAAACCATGTTTGAGCAGCTCCAGTCAGTGTAGTCGCAAACAGCCGGGTTATCAAAGGTTCTTCTATTCCCTTGATGTACATTGACGTATCAAAGGCATCCAAGTGCACCTGGGGATCCTGCGTTCCATCTCATTTGAGGAGTTCTGATAAATTTAGATTTTCTGGGAAGGGTGCATCCACAATCTCGTCCACAAAGGGGCTATTGTTGTATTGCCCTCTGAGATACTTCCTCCTGTAGATCCCAGATACGTCATCAGGGTTTCTGAATGGGTTTCTGAACTGGGAACTCTCTCTGCCTTTCTGTACTTCTTCCTTCACCTCGGCCTTCCTCGTGTCGAGGTTCTTCATTACGAGCCAAGCCAGGAACGTTCCTTTGAGGTCGGCTCTCAACACGTTCGGTATTTCTCACTTGAGGCCGGGTTCTATCATTGTTCTCTTAGGGATTCGTGATCCTCAAGTCATTCATGACCCGGGTTATAACTTGTTCCAGATTCAGGTTAGAGACTCGCCCTACTCTAGTCTCCAACTCTCGCATCTGCCCAGCACCTTCCTCCTTTTCAAGATCGTGCCTTCTTTCCATCTCTTCCATTCTCCGAAGGACCGCAGCAACAGCCAGATCCGTCACCCGCGGATCACCAATTGCACCATTTGGAAGCTGCATCGCGTCTGCGACTTGGTCCTCCACCGGTTGTAAACCCTACACATATGGGGCATTCAGATTGACGACTGGGGTTGATGCCGAATCGGAATGCACGTCACTAACATGCACCTCATTAGTGTCTATTTGATGATTCAAAGGATCCTTCCTGATTGGTGGAACAGGCTGATGCTTGGAATTCGATCTTGAAGGCTGTCGATATCCACTCCTGGTTGTCCTTGCCATCTCAATCAACTGCCTTTAATCACGTAGTAGTAGTGGGAAAAGTCTTCGTTTCCCACAGATAGCGCCAATGTTCTGCCTGAGGAAGAGGTGTCCGACCGTAGGTCGGATGATTGATCTTGGATCTAGTGCTTTCTCTCTAGATACCTATAAACTAGGTATCTTGGGGACAGCGAATCACTACACACTATATGATGGCCTTAGCCAAAGGGTGTGTGTGTGTGCACTGTCGTGATTGCATAAAATAGGGTTAGAGAGATCAGTCATACCTGTGGTCTTTAGCTCCTATTTATAGAGCTTACCTTTGGGCTTGTGCTGTTTGGGCTTTTCGCAGGCATGGGCCTTTCCCAGGTCCATAATAGAGTTTTCAACAAAAAATAAATACATAAAATCATGCTAAATTGAAACTTTAACCTAATTAAATTATTTTTAGTCTCACGTAGATTTTTAGTCTCTAGTGGAATTACAAGTTTGACCCTAGCATTGTGTTGGCTTTTCATTTTTGTGCCTCTATATATTTGTTTTCACGGCTTCCTTTCTCATTTCCTCCCATTTCAACTTTGAGAGACTATTTTCAAAGTTTCTTTGTGCATGTTTATAGACTTTCTTTACTTACTTCTTATTCTCCTTATAAAGAACCACTTCAACCCAGAATCTTAAAGTTTTTGGGTTGAAGTGATTTTTTAAATGATATCAGAGTTTTAGTGACCATAAGTTCATGAGTTCGATCCTCATTGCCCCCACTTTTGAGTGGAATTAAAATAAGTACAAGGTAAAACCAAAAATATTGGGCTTGTGCAATATCCACACTTCAAGCTCAAAGTGCTCTTGTGTGAAAGAGTGTGTTGAAGAATAATATAAGCCATTAAAAAGACTATCACCTAACACCTTAAGGATTACCTTGAACTTTTTGTAACTTGAGAGATGAATCCATAGTGGTTTTGCAAGCTTGACTGCAAGGAGGCCAGCATCAAATATCAATTCTAAAGCATATTTTCGTTGGATAATGAGAAGCACAGATTTGGAACGAGCCACTTCTAATCCTAAGAAAAAGCGTAAGGATCCCAGGTCCTTGATTTTGAATTGAGAGTCAAGATGTTGTTTAACTTGATTGATTTCTTCAAGGCAATTCCCAGTAACTACTATATAGCAAAAGGGTACACACAACTTGAAGGGTTGATTATCTTGAAACTTTCTCTCCGGTGGTCAAAATAACTACAGTTCGGGTTCTTCTTGCAATTGCCACTGCACAAGGTTGGTTCATGGAACAATTGGATGTCAATAATGCATTTTTCATAGAGATTTACATGAAGAAGTGTGTATGACCCTTCCACCTAGAGCTAACAGTCCCAAACCGAATCAAGTTTGTCTTTTAATAAAGTCCCTCTATGGTTTAAAACATGCCAGTGGTCAATGAAATGCAATTTTTTATATTTATTTTTATCTAACGCATTCCTTTATGTATGATTCGGTAATATGAATTATGAAAAAATGATACAAGGAACACTTTTTACCGGAGTAAAGTCTGTCTTGTGCCAAAAAAAAAATATCATGTAAAGAATCACTTCAACTCAAAATCTTAAGGTGTTGGTTTATATTATTCTTTAACACTATAGTCTCGTACTTTCACTCATACCCTGATTCTTTTTTGTAATACTGAGGATCCGTTAGGCATAATTAATCTTTTTTTTGGGGGGATATAAGCATAATTAATCTTTACGCATCCTTTACATACATAATGTGATAAATAATACAATATTCTTCTCTATTTTTAGTGTTAAATAAAAGTACTTTCGGGTAAGGGTGTGCAAAATAATCAAAAAACTGAACCGAATCATGAACCGAACCGAATCGCCCTTAAAATAAAAGATTTTTAAAAATCAGTTCATGAACCGAACCGGTTTTTAGAACCAGTTTAAGAACTAAACCATTTTGAAACGAACCGAACCAAATCATTTTCAAACCGAACCAAATTAATTTTTATAACTTTATTTTTTAAATTTTAATTTTTTTTTTCAAAAAGAGGGTCGACCCGAACCGGTTCCGAGCCGAACTGAACCGTTTCCAACCGAACCGAATCACTTCCGAACCACTTCCGAATCGAACCAGTTTTGAACCGAACCGAACCACTTCTGAACCGAACCATTTAAATCAATCCAGTTCGGTTTTTCAAAAAATCCGATTCGGTTCGACCCATGCCTATGATGCACGGACATAGACACGGGACACGGGACACGACACGACACTTCGACACGTTAATTCTAAAAAATGCTAAATTTGGACATGTTGGGACAAGTTTTGATATTAAATAATATTTTTAATATATATAATATAATTTACATTTAATACATATAGCAACTCATAATAAATAACTCATATACTAATCAAATATTCAAATTTGATAATATAAATATTAAGAAAAAATAATAGAACATCCAGTGTAGAAAATATTAAGAAAAGGCTTAAAGGGTTATGAACTTTGATCTTTCTGAATAGGTCAAGGTAATGAAGAAATTCATGCACATGAGCACCACTGCATACGGCCATAGAAAGTGATGGTATATGGTTCCTAAGACACTGGCAGAAAGTGTTCCAATCTCGCCTCTTTTAGTTCTCATAACGGCTTGGTGTGTTGTTGTTCGCTGAAGATGAAGATGAGGTTGTGGTGAGATCGGTGGTTGGGGATGATACAACAAGGATCTCATTATCGTAGTTGCTACTGTTGTTTGCTAATTCAGAAATCAAATCCATTGGGGAATATTGAAGATCTGAAGCTTCTTCTTTAAACCCTTGTTGTTGCTTTAGAATATTTGCGTTGGATCTTGAGAATGGTGAGATTAATTTGTGCTGATGATGATATTTGTAAAAAATAATAGAACATCCCACGACGACGAAAGAAGAGAAAGACCAGACGACCAGTAGCCTCCAGCGCAAGAGAGGATCAGAGGATAGGGTTTCAGATTTTTGATTTTTATTAAATATTTTTGATTTTTTTAATTGTAATTTTATTTCTTTTTTACAAAAAAAAAAATGCAAAACGTGTCCCAAAACGTGTCCACATACGTTGACTGTGTGTCGGATTCGGTCAAACTTGCGTGTCCCACTAGTCAACGTGTCCCAAAAAGTCAACCGCGTGTCCGAACATGTCCTAACGTGTCCGTGTCCGACACGTGTCGGACACACATTTTTTCCAAAAAAACACGTGTCCGTGTTTCACAGACCCACGCACATCCTTACTTTCTGGCGCATCTAGAAAATATATGAATGTTTATTGAGCATCCAATGATGCCTAATAAATGCCCTCACAATTTGTAACCTGTGTTTGTCACACATAACATATGCAGTGCAACAATCTGAAATCCCTCAAGCAATTTGGATGGGTGTCTATTGGTTCATTGAATGGGTTCCTATACACTTTTTCACCAAATGGTACTTTTAAGAAATTCTCAAGAAGAAATATAGAGAACTCTGTGATTCAAATTAGTCCATTTCTTTAACATATTGATGATTACACCATTGTTTCAGCAATTAGACCAAAAGTTGCACTAGTCACTGGATTGGTTACCGAGTGGATCTATCTATTAGTCCGGTAGGATATCATGTTGCAAAATTTTCCATTCCTTTTTCGCAACTCTTTGCTTTGGACAAAATTTGCAATGTTTCAGACTATCTAATTTCTCAGTGGTTGATTGAATTAGGTCAATTTTCAAATTTGAAAGCAATGAAAACTTAGGTTCTGATATGCAATTTTAATACTGGCAATACAAAATTATAAATATGCTTCTTTTTGATACCTACTTTTTTTTTCAGGGTCAAGAATACCGTTTTAACGGTGGCCGGAAATCGAACCAAGCCTACGAGAGTGAATAATATTATCACTTACCATTAAGTTATCTTCAATTATTGGACAAAATGCACCTTATAATACATTTAATAATTTAATATAAATTTAAGACAAAATATTCCACTTTTAACACCTATGGAAGTGAGTGATATTAGCATGTCACCATTTACTATTAGGCTACTCTCAATATTCGTCAAAATGCATCTTATAATTATATAATATACATAATTTGATATAAATTTAATTAAACCGATTGAGGCAATGATCACCGATTGAATCAATGATCCAATATCTCAATCGAGTTGATGAACTAGCCGAGTTTTAATAAACTCTTCCTCGGAGATAAGCAGTTTTTAACAACTACCACCAATGCTACTAAACTAATATATATAGTTGCATCTTTATTATTAATCTTTAATATTTGATCAGAATTCGCCATCATTTTCATTCTCGCATGTGCACTTTTCCTAGGACTCTAGTTATGCCTACTTTCTTTTTTGATTCTAGCCAACTGGCTAAAAGTGTTAGGAAATTGTTTTCGAAAATATCAACATGGAAAATTTTATTTTAAATGTACTAAGTGGTCATATCTACCAATAGGCCAAGTCTAAGAACTTTGACTAATAACTCCTAATTGTAGCATGCAGCTGATTTGCAGATCATTAATTATTTTCCATAATAGAAAGTATTCTCAAGAGGACTATCATTTTGCGAATGATTAAACAAAGAAAGATACTGAACATGATGAAACCCAAAAGGTTTGGTTAATTCTTCAATACATGGGGAATTCTATTGGAACCAAACTCACTTCATAAGGTATTTTTATTTATTTATTTATTTATTTATTTTTTGTTTCTTCCACAATCCACACCTCATTACTACATACCAGATTTAGCAATCTCAGAAGAAAAATAATCATTCATCTTAGCTTTACATCTTAAAGTATGAGCATATCAAATCACAATGTTACCGGAAATATACTTTATAAACATTGTTGCTCAAAGAAAATCAAACCAAGCTGAATCTTCCAAAAATTTAGCTCAAATCCTTAACATTGTAGATATCTAGGGCTGAAACTTTTCACAAAGCTTAAGGCGTCTTAATAAACTATTGGGGTTAAATAAAAGTTGCTCAAAGAAAATCAAATAAAGCTTAATCCTCCAAAAGGATGATTTCATACTAAAAATTTAGCTCAATTCATTAATACTGAAGCTGTATAGTTCACAAAACGTAAAGTGTAATCAAGTAATGGAGGATTGACTGCCTCTGAGAGAATTTCAGAAAAATGAGATGTGAGCCTTCAAAAGTTGATTTCCTGCAAAATACCGTATTTTCCTAATATTTTAAAATTAACCTAAATCCCTTTGAATCCTTTCCCCATTATGAATAAAGCAGTATATAATGTGCAAAGCTAAGGTGATTTGGCTTTAACTGAGGGTTTTTTTTGTTTTTAAATTAATGAACTTTTATCCCCTCATATTATGAGACATGATATAACAGTTTAATGAACACCTGCATAGCAATCAAAGTAGATTAGGAAGATGAAGTACCATAATGCTTTTTCCCCTTTATGATATTAAAGAAAACAAGTTATTCTGCAAGGTATTATTTTATGGGATTGATTAGTCTCATTTAATAGAAGATATTTTATCTTCTATCACAGACACAACAAAGCATGGGCCCCAGCCATTTATTAAAAAAAAAAACAATGCACCCAAATCGATGTATCAGCTGGAAAGAAAACTTCTCTTCAGTGACATAAGACTATCTTTTCCCTTATTTTATTGTCTACTTTTGGAATTTCAATAATCTCTAGTGTGCTGAATGTTATTCTAACCAAGATGTAACTCATAATATCTACTTTAGTAGTTCTTGCTGTATTGTATATATAATTTTTCATCACTTCATAGATCAGAGACCTACAATGGGATGCTCTCAAGCAAGGATCGAGCATGTCAGTTATATATACAGGTGATAGTCAACTCTGTATATTAACAAGAGACCGTGTCAATCTTTTAACAATTGAATATATCTTTCGTGTTATACATAAAAAACTGACATACACCATACACAAGACTCCCCAATTTCTAAGGATAGAGGTGAGCTGAAAATTCTACTATACATCCTGAACAAAAAAGAAGCTTCAAGATGCATATTAATTTGTACAAGTTACACAACACAACATACACACACATAAGGTAAAAAAAAATGAAAATTAGAATCAGAAAAGTCAAGATCACAATCACAAAGGACTTTGTATAGTAGGGAACCTCTCTAAATTGGGACAGCTAACAATGTGCAATAGCTGCGTGGATCCGCAAACTAAAATTCCTCTGCACACGCTCTCCAACTGTGGTAAATCTATCAACTTCAATCTGGTTAACCTGAGGAGTGTAATGCTGTAACCATCATCATCTCCCGAGTTACTCACAGCAAATATCTCCTTCATGGAAGCACAACCATTTACTGTTATGGTCACCAGGTTATGAAGTTGTGCCACTAACCCAGGTGTCAACAACTTCTCTATCCCATTGCAGTGCCAGATTCTAAAATGCTTGAGATGAGAGAACACGCCACTCGGAAGCAAAGATTGTGTTACATTAGCAGCAACATCTTCCTTACAGATGGCAGTTAAATTTTCCAAATCATTAAGAACCAAAGATTCGAGGTTTTGGATATTAGTGCACGAGGAACAAGAACCAGATAAGCAAAACAAGCTCTTCAGTTCTGTGCAACTAGTAATATCAATTTTCCTCAAAGAAGAAGAATCGATGAGTGACAGAGAATTACATAAGCATGTCCATTGATTATTGTCATATATAAACAGTTCCAGAAGGTCTATTGGCAGCAAAAGGGGGCCAGCATCGCAATCTCGAACACATTGAACTATTCTATTACTTGGAACAAGATGAAAATCAGGGCCCAAAACTAGATTTGCCCACCAATCATCTGCAATATCATGTTCTCCCAAATGGAGATGACAAGTTTTGGGCCCAAAACCGGAGTCTAAGATTTTTTGCACATAAGTTTTGTATTCCTTTAAGTCCTGAAACCAGCCTCCAAAACATTCTAGCTTACTCATCCCTTGTATATCTTCCCCAGTTAGTGTAGCCAAAGGACAACGGAGGAGATTGAGGTATTGCATATTGATCAGACCGGGTAGCACAGACCCTGGTACCAACTCCAAATACTCGTTCCCGGATAGATCAAGCCATTTCAAGTTGATTAGCTTTTCCAAGCCTTGTGGAACTTGGTCAATTGAACAACATGAAATGTCCAATCTCGACAATGCTTGTAGCTCTCCCAATGGAGGCACATATTCCAACTCTGAACATTCATGGAGCACTAAAGAAATAAGGGACCTCAAGTTAGACAGCGAATTTGGCAAATATCTTAAGCTATAATTATAAGATAGATCGAGCACGGATAGAGCATTCATGTTCATGAAAAAGCACTCCGGAATATGATTGAGCCAACCACGACTTAAAATCAAGGTGGACAAACGTGGACAACAAGGTGATGTGCCCTCTGGGATTTCTTCTATCTTGTTATCAATCAAAGAAACAACCTCCAACTCAGACGTCCATTCCTGCATGTGAGGTGTCTTACTCAATCCTTCACCATATTTTACCAAGTACTTGTGATTCTCTTTAAGGATATGAAAGGCCATGTCCCTCACCAGACTATGCAGGTCATCACTATCCTCTATCAACAAAGAATGATCTTTCAGTTTATCCAATATGGTATGACCCTCATCAAATATTTCGTCCAGTCTACTCATTCCATTTATCAGTCCACCATCAACAAGCTTCATAATTAACTCGGAAGAACTTACAGTTTCGGTATGTAATGCAAGATATAAGAAACAGATTTGCATGTTCTTTCCTGTTAAATTATCATAGCTGAGTTTTAATACCTTGAAGACCTCTTCTTCCATTTCTTCCCCCATTGCCAAGTTTTGAAGTTTATTTAATGCATGTCTCCATCGATCAATTTCATTTTCCCCTTTCATGATTCTAGCCATCACACTGATTCCAAGTGGTAAACCTCTGCATTTTGCTGCAACACATCTTGCAATCTTTTCTACTTCAGGGGGAAGTGTTGCGGGGGTTCCATGGCGTCCAAGTTTTAACAAAAATAACTCCCAAGCTTCATCATCAAAGAGAGGGTACATTCTTATTATATTATTTGATGGGCAATCCATCTGTTGACACACATGTTTCAAACGACTTGTCAGAATTAATTTGATGCCATTCATTCTAAGAGGAATTCCCACCTTCTGTAGATCAATATATTTCCAAACATCGTCCAAAATAAGTACTGATTTTTCTTTTGTCTCCAACTCCAATGACAGATTTGCTGCTCTGGTTCTTTCATCATCTCCACTAAGCTTCACACCTGTTTTTTCTGCGATGTCATGTTGCAATTTTAAAATGCTAAAATCATGGGAAAGAGTGACCCAAAAGACATCATTGAAAGTTCCATTCCTTTTTATTTCCTTCTCCATGTGAGTTACTAGAGAAGTTTTTCCAACTCCTCCCATCCCATGTATGCCAATGATGAAGACTTGGTCATCCTCAAGAAGTTTCCACATCTCCTTAATATTGCTCTCAAAAAATCCACCAACCATTTCATTTGACAACACAAGAGGCTTCTGTTTCTTATGCTTTCGCACTTCTTCAGTCAATTGCTCTATGTCCAATCCGTAGGCTCTTTTTTTCAAGTCTTGTGATTTATTCAACCAAATATCGACTTGTCTCTTGGGCTTTTTGCCCCGGGACTCAAGCCATTGTAATTGTCCTTTAATGTCGTCTTCCTCACGTGTTAGATCAAAAACTAATTCATTGAAGTGATTAATCCCACTTTCCAAAACACTGTTAGTAATATTGCTGCTTCCGTTCACAGCTGGTGCCAAACCTGTTCCACATAAATGTTGAACTGTTTAGTGTGGAGCTTAGGTCTGTTATATAAGGTGATGTATCTCAATATAATAATTCTTGGATGCAGTGGTATGAGCCAAACCTCTATGCAAGAATTACCATGAGTATCTCAAGTGAAGGCTAAGAGAGGGGATGGTGAAAGGGCACAATAGAATTCGGAAAAATAACATGTCATAATGATGAGTGAAAAATGTCTCTTCGATGAATAAAGATGAGTATTTATAGCTGAGAAAATATTTTCGCCAAAAACTTGTTGCGAACTCAGCAAGCGCACCGGTCGTACAAGTAATACAGTGTATGAGTAAGAGTATCGTCATCCCCACGAGTATCAGATTTCAACCAATAATTCCCTATTTACGCTTAAGTTGGACAATTGATAAAGAGAATTGAATGAAAGCTAAACTAAATAACAAGGAAAGTAATGAGCGAGTAACTTGACAATCAAGAAACGCAATTAGGGCTTCGATTTCCCCCGATCTCCCCTTTATGTTATGAATTAAAACCCTTAACTAAATGTCCTTTTCATATCGCCAATCGATTCTCCCAAGTTAATTAAGATGCAACGAGTAACAACAATTTGCCCAACTGGCTCCATTGTTGTGCGTGAGGCCAAGCACACCTCCACAATGTGTATGAGGTAAGCTGGTGCAAGAAGTGGGAAATCCTCTACTTTGAGGGTCTAAAAGTCTCACTTTAGGAAGCCCCTTAAATGAACCTTGAACGGCCGGCCTATTGAACAGGGCTAGTAAGATCCAGAACAAGTGTAAAATAAAAGCCAGAATTCTCATTTCGAAATGTTAAGAATGTTACCTACCTTGTAATGGATTGGATGCATTTGCAACGTCTTGTGGATTAGTTGAACTGGAAGCAATATTGTTGTGAGCTCCTTCATTATCACGATCAACAGGGCATACAGCAATGCCATGACCTGGTATCTGATCTACATGCGCTTTAATTCTTGAAACACCTGATCCCTTATACTTATGTCCACATCGATTGCACTTCCACATACCATTTCTTTCTTTAGTAACTTGATTCCAGTAGTGTGTATCCGTCATCAGCCTAGCCATGATTAATATATTTCCTACACACAGAAGATCATCAGGTTTAAATACTTTTGTACATAGTACAACATATGTGCCTCTCTAGATATATTTTTTAATTAATTTGTAAAAAAAAGAAAAAGAAAAAAAAGAATACCTCAAACATTTTTTTAATCAAATCTTAAGGTTAAAACTATGGAGCTTACAAATACTTGTGTTTGCTAGCATCTTCCTAAGAGTTTAGAGTCAAGTGAAGTAAAACAACTGATGTTTAGAGTCTTTAGACTAATATTAAATACCGTCCAAGAAATGAAGGTTTTTATTTTTTTGCTATACTTTTTTAACAAAATAATTAAATGAGAGATAAAGCGATAAGAGTGATTAAGCTGAAGAGATAATTCCTATGAAAGCTTTAAGGGAAAAAAAAAAACAACAAAAACAAAGAGAGAAAAAGAGAGATTTCAAAATCAATGCATAGCACAAGGAAAACAACTCACATGTGCAACCCTGAATCATTCCACAAAATATGAAACATACTTTCATCTCTCACGATCTTCAAACACAACCAGAAGTCCAAAAAATTTCTTAACACAGTTTTCTCGTAATTGGTAAAATTAAGTTATAAAGCCACATATAAAAAAAGGACTTGAGCCCTTGATACCATAGTTTGCATATGGTATATAACAACTCGCGACGATGATTAAGCATACTGGCAACATTCATTTAAAAAAAATAAAATAAAAAATTCAAACAACAATCTTAGAGATTCAGTTTCAAGAATAATAATCTAGATAAGCAAACTTCAAAGATTTAAAACATAGCAATAATCACTACCAACAAAGCTAAAAGCCTTCAAATAAAACAACCAAATCGCAAATCACATAACATTATTAAAAGTCCGAAACTTTTCCTAATCAATTTTCTTATTGCTTCAAACCACAGTTTAACTAACCATTCCCAGCACCAATTTAAGCCATAACCTTGATTTTCAAGCTACTCAGTATACAATGATTATCAAATTAATGCAAAATCAAATAAATACATAAAAAATAAAATAAGTAAAAGAAAATCTCAGGAATGGCAATTAGTAGTGTCAATCATGAAACAGATATAATTAAAAAACAGGAGAAGCGAAAAGGGGAAGAAAAAAAAATCATTAACGAATAAGACTTTTGGAGATAGTTGTAAAAGCAAGAGTTCTCTCTGAATACCTCGGCTTAATTTTCTTGTCTCTAAATTAATTAAGAGACACAGATCGAAGAGGAGAGATTTTCTCTCAGAGTTTATAGAATTTTCAGTGATTTTTTCTTCACTCACAATCAGAACTCCTCTCAACTCAAGTGCTATACATGAAGAGAGGTGGAGTCGTGCTTTACAGGCTGTCCCCCTAACGTTCTTACTACTTATTACAAGACTTTCACGTTAAGACCCGTTTGGATTTTTTTCCTTCTTCAAAAAAGCTGTCTTTTTTTAAGAAAATAAAAGCAGTTTTCGTTTTTAGTTCGTTTGGATATCTGTTTTAAAAAAAAAGGAGAAGTCACAAAAAAAGTCAAAAAACTTACTTTTCTCGGTAGCTAAAATCTTTAACTTCTCAAAAAAAACAGAAGTCAAAAGTTAAATTTTTTTTCAAAAACTAAATATTTTTATAAAATTATAAATAACTTTAACTTTTGTAAAAAGTACTTTTAAAATAAGAAAGTATTAAAAGTTACTTTTAGAAAAAGTTAAACCAAACGACCTCTAACTTGTTGACCGACTTAAAAACATTTAATATTTATATAAAAAATTTTATGTTAAAAATTACTTTAAAGCTTAAATTAGAATAAATTGTTTGATAAAATAATTTTTATATATTTATTTTAATTAAAATTTTCATAAAAATAAAAAATAAAGAATAAAATTTATAAATATTAATTAATATAAAAACATAACCAAAACCTAAATATAAAAACTCAAAAAAAATTAAATACATCTTAAAGTTAGTGGAGTTTTTAATTTTTTTTATCTATTATAAAAAAATTTATAATAAAATTATAAACATATATTTAATTAAACTTAGGATATAAAAAGAAGAGAAGGCGACAAATATACCGAAAGAGAGTTTGTTAACAAGCTGGCAAAAAGTCTTGCATTTATTTATTTGCAAAAGAGAATTCGATGAGTAAAAATCCTATATTGTCCATAGTAGAATGGGAATTGATGTGAGAAAATTTAGTCGTTCAAATAGAAATCAAAGGTTATTATTTTATTGGGGTTTGATTTTCTCATGTTAAATGAGAATTCAATTCTTATGTTGTAGAGATAAAAAATATGTGGGACCAGGCGTTAGAAAAAATAATATGTAAGACCCATGTCAGTACGGAAATCGAAGGGTGTGTAGAAAAATTTAAATTCTCATGTTAAATGAAAATTATAAAACCCTATTTTATTATCATTTATCTTAATTACTTTGGCTTGTCGATCAGTTCTAATCTATCACCAACCAGCCAAAAATAGAATGAGATGGGGTGGCCCGCCTATTAAATATAGGTTATAAATATTTATTTGTTCCGTTTATATTATGAGTTGGTTGGTCAATTTATTTAAAAATTTAAAAATAAATTATATTTTATAAATTTTATAATATTATTTAATTTCATTCCACACTCTTTTTAATTATTTTCAATCCCAAGTATAAAAGTATGTTAATGGTTAGTCGGACAATCACTAAAAATTTATTTTTGTCTCTATATATAGATAACTTTTATCATAAATAAAATATTTTCTTAATTTTTTTGAAGGAAGTACTAAAATAAAAATTCTGAATATTATAAAAGCTTGACAAATAAAACATTACTTTTTGATTTTTTTTTTTACCCGACAAGCCAACACATTTCATGGCAAATTAAACTTGTTTTGATCCACTCTTATATGTGGCAGGTCGAAACAAGTTGACGAGTTAAAAATCTCAACCCTAACCTACTATTTGTAATGGGTTTAAGAGACCAACCCCGTCAAATTGGTGCTATTTTACCAACTCTACAAATGATATAGCTGGGGATTGACAACAGCTAGTAAAAATTGAGTATACAAGCGCATAACACCAAAGTCCCACTATGATTTCCATTCTCCACTTTCCACCATATTAGCGGATTTTAGATAATTAAATTAAAAAATAACTTTATTACTAGTTGCGCCTATTTTAGTCAAAATAAAATAAAATTATGTTTTGGTTCATGTCTTTAGGAATGCAAATTTTTTTTAGTGTTTCCGTTGTACTGAATATTCGGTACATTTTTTTATTAAATATGATAAAAAAAATATTTTTACATTATCATTACCTTTATGTTTGTTACCACCCATATCTCATATTTTTTTATTTTTGACAAAGAAATATGTACTTCAGTATATCGAAAATGTGCTCCTACGGAAGAAAGATAACATATACTTTTTTTTTTAGACACAAACATATACTTTTTAAACTAAAGCTTAAATAATTAGTAGACATAATTATTTGACTTAGCATACATAATTATTTGACAACGACGATGTTGTCTTAGGGGAAAAAAGTGAGGCTTCAAAATAAATTAATTCTATTTAAAGACTCTTAGTCTGCAATTAGAGAATAATATAAATCACTAAAAAGGCCATCAACCAATGTCTTAAGATTTTGAGTTAAAGTAATTTTTTATATGATATCAGAGTTTCGGTGATCACAAAAGTCATGAGTTCGATTCTCACTGTCCTCACTTGTGAAATTAAATAAGTATAAGGTAAATAAAAAATATAAAAAAATTAGGGCTATACAATATCCACACTTCAAGCCCAAAGAGCTCTTGCGTGAGAAAATACGTTAGAGAATGATTTAAATCATTAAAAAAGTCATCACCCAATGCCTTAAATTTTTTTGAGATGAAGTGATTTTTTACACCTCAGGGACAAGGGTATACCTGCAAATGACCTATCCTTGAATCACCTGCAAGAATTATACACAACATTTAACTAAATGCAGTTTGATCTTATTAATTGAGCCATACTTTTAGCCCATTTTTCCTTGGAAGGTTTGTTTTTTATATATTTCCGCTTAAAATTTGGTGTCGTGACCAGTAAATATATGGATCAACTGGCATACATGTGGATCAATTTACATGAGATTATTTCTACCTGATCAATAATAAACGAAGAACAGAGAAATCCAAAAAATAAAAATAAAAATGGTGCTGTGACCACCACACAGCATTTATGTTCTGTTGCGTACCTTTGAAGAGAAAAACAGAAAGTTCAACTGCTATTTTTACTCTGCATAAATCTCTCGTGTTCCCAAGCTTTTAAACATCTACTAATCAATTTTACTTGAGGGGTTGGATTTTTTAAGTTGAAGTAATCTTTGAACGAGGTCCATAGAGCCCAACCACCCAAGATCCCCCAAACTTATTAGCTGAATAATATATTGATGATACATTTTCTAAGCTTTAATATAACAAGAAGTATAATATAACCATGGGTTTAATATTTCTTATATGAATAAAGGATTTCTTCACTCAATAAAGATAAGTTATCTCTAGTGAGCCAAAAACGACGTCGTTTTGGGACAAAAATCAAGGTATTTTTGTAATTATAATATATTGCAAGGTTATTTTAGTATTTATCATTATAATTTTTTAATCTTATAACTCTAAAATGACGTTGTTTTGAACTCACTGGAGATAATTTTATCTTCAGTGACTGGAAAAATACTTTTTCCTTCTTATATTGTGGAAGATAAATTTATTTCCTACACATATAAAAGTGTGTGAGGTTCATATATATTTTTTTCTTTATTCTTCTCACATGGACCTACATGAGCCACACACACTTTTATGTATATGTAAAAAATAAATTTATTTAGATTACCAAAAAATAAAATAAAATTATTTCGTATAATATGAAAAACATTAAAATCATAAACCATTAGCTCTTATAATATTGGGTAATATTATATTAATATAAAATTAATAGTGCTCATTACTCATTATTTATAAGTTTAAATTATTGGGATGAAATGAGTATATTAAATAATATCAAAGCTTTTAGGGCACGCTATCCATATTTCAAACCCAATAGCTCTAAGTGAGGGGGTGTGTTAAAAATATTAATATAAATCCTATTCACTTTGTATAGATAGGGATCTATAAGTCCACTATGTTTTCTTTGGGGAGAGAATCACTGTATGGATGATACTCTTAGCACAAGTAGAGACCAAGCTAAGAGGTACTGTTCCAAGTATGTAGCAAGCAATTAACAATGGGGTTAGGTATGTGTAATGTGATTCAATATAATGGGCATAATAACGATACATAAGATGCCTCTTTGGTGTGCCAAAGAGAGCTATTTATAAGGAGGTCGTATGAGCCTCCTATGGGTTAATGAGGAAGGGGTCAACCCTTCTTGGGATCTGCTCATAATAGCAGATGTTGTTGGGCGTGACAGGCGCTGCTATGATAGCAGCAATGCGCCTGACGGTGTCAGCATATGTCAAAGGGGCAGTTCCCTCTTATGGCATCTGTGGCGACTGCCTTTGGGGGTTGGGGTCCCGAGATGGGACATTTTGGTGTCTCCCCTAGGGAGTGTCGTTTCATTGGGAGTTGGGGAGGGTTGCCAGTTGGTAGGGCTGACGTGGATAGGGAGTTATAATGGGGCTTGAACCTTTGGGCCACTACTGTTGGGCCATCCGGAACAGGAGCCCCCCAGCTTGGTAGCAAGTGTAAGTTGGTGCCAAGATAAAAGGGGTTCAGGCGACGCCTCACTGGCGATCTGCATGGTTGTCGATAAGGTGAAAAGAGTTTGGGCGTCACCTGAGTGGCTGACGCCAAGGTAAAGTGTTTGGGCGTCACCTGAGTGGCTGACGCCAAGGAAAAGGGTTTGGGCGTCATCTGAGTGGCTGACGCCAAGGTAAAGTGTTTGGGCATTACCTGAGTGGCTGATGCCAAGGTAAAGGGTTTGGGCGTCATCTGAGTGGCTGACACCAAGGTAAAGTGTTTTGGGCATTACCTGAGTGGTTGACGCCAAGGTAAAAGGGTTTGGGCGTCATCTGAGTGGCTGACGCCAAGGTAAAGTGTTTGGGCATTACCTGAGTGGTGTAGGAGTAGCACCCAATATCTTAGTGACTTAATGCTTGGGGCTTCCCACCTCTTTGAGGCGGGGTTCCTTCCTATTTGTGTCTTTGGCGGGCCGCGTAGTCCTGTACGGGGTATTTTGGGTATTTCGTCCTTCCGACACGCAAAGTGCCTTTTCGGTTTTCGAGGGGTAGTAATGATGGTTTCTTCCATCATTGCAAATAACTGCAGAACTCAATCGTCTCGAGGCACGGCG